TAGCGATATTTTGAAACCGCACAGTTCACAGCGTAGTTACAAACGCTTATTCAGGTGGTGGCATTTTCTTCAAAGCTCCACTCGATATTAACTTGGCAGTAATTGGTACACAGAAATAGAAATCATGGTTTTGTCCTTTAAACAGGGCGGCACTTGAATAAAGGGGCACACTGAGAATTTAAGGATGCTCTTTCTGATGTTGTGTTAACAGTTTATGGTTGAGTAAAAATAGAAAGCAGCTCTGAGGATTTCTAAAGAAGTACTCATTTATTTTTCTTGTCGCCAGAGGGAAATTCTATAAGACTGAGGGGAGAAATGCTCTGAAGAGCTGTGATTGTAAAGGTTCGACGGGGTGTTCAAAGAAATCAAAATCTTTAAAGGTAAGAAAAAGACACAGAATGTGTGCGACATCAATAACTCATCTGCTCCATTTTCCTATCATTCTACCAGTTTGTGAATCAATACATAGAAATACAGAGATAACCATTTTGTTTGTTTGCTGTACAACAAAGTGCAATCGGTTCCACGGTGCATCTCCACACAGAGAAAAGATCACAGGGCTGCAGATGCATGTTTCCCTCTTGTCTAAGCCCTGGGCTCTCGCTTTGTAGTTACACATGGTCGCCCTGCACCAAGCAAAGAATCCTGGCCGCTAATCTACACTCAGTCAGCTTGCCTTTTTTAGGAGCTCCTCATAGCTGTGAGAGCAGAGGGCAGCTGGGGTCAATCGGCCGAGGAGGATGATGTGTACACAGCAAGTGTTCGCACCTGACCAGGCATTAACATCAGTACCGGCTTTGTTTACTGCAATTTCCCCGACACTGCAGAAAAAGGGCCGTCTGAGAGCCTCGTCAGTGGTTGACTTTCCACATATAAAAAGTTACTCTCAATCAATACTATTTCCAGGAGTCCTCCAAGGGTCTCTCCTGTAAACAACAATTAACTTCTCAATCATCTCCCACAGACACGCAGTAATATTGACCTCTGCGTGCCACATCATAGCCTAGTCCTACCCAAGTCTGGGCTTTGCTTCACAAGCAGGATGTCTAAATATGTCCTGTACTTCTATGCAAACATAGCGGACCCGCCAAGGACATGACTCGGGAATCAGGGTAACCACGGTAATGCGAGGCGTGATGGTGGGGTTAAAGGTGAGGGGATCTCTGGTTTGTGAAAGTGTGGTTAAGCAGCGTACGGACAAACCACTCCGTCGTCCCCATTACGGTCCAAGTACTTCAATTATTAACAGCCTTTTGTCTAGTATTTTTGATGGCTCACATTTGATCATTTTAAATCATTGGATTATATTTACTTTCTCATTGCTTGTATTACCTCCATGGTTATTTTTTACAACGTGTGATATCAATAGTTTGATTGACTTTGCTTGCACAAGAATGTATTACAAAAAAAAAGAAGAATATTGCCGTTTTCACCCTGATAACTTTGCAAGATGTAACTACTCTTTAGGACTAACTGTTAGAAAAGAAATAGATTGTCAAACTCTGCATAAAGTATAGATTAAATTCATGAACACTGTCTTTCTGAATATAACTGAATAGTTTAATCAGATGTGTGTTCTTATGTACTTCTTGCCTTGTTTTCCATCATCATCATGACACCATGTGATATCACGTCCAGAGACATCCTGATGGCGCCGTATGCAAATGCTCTGTTGCAGGTCAAAGGCAAAGTGGCCAGGACTGGAAGGCGGAGAGATGTCAGATATTTAAACATGTTTGACATGTTTGACAGTTGAAACCACCATTGACCTTCCAGGGCTTTAACTGGCTGCGGGGATTGAGCGGTTCAAAAATAATCCCCCCCTGTCAAACGTCACTCAAGCTCAGCAATAACACAAGTCATCATCCAGCTTAGCCTTCCTACAATTTTTGGGGTAGCCGGAGAAACTCGTGGAAACCGGCAGCCATGAAATCGGTTAATTTTTGGGAGCACAACAGAGATCAAACCCTGTTGGATTTGGGTAATTAAGCATCCTTGGAGCTTGTTGATGCGAGGAGCTGCTCTCACACCTGCACTCTACGTGTGGAGTACGGACGCATTGGGGGATCGAGCGCGGGGTGCGTGTGGGTGAGGTGTGTGCGGGGGAGCAGAGCTGGCACGCTAATCAGGACGAGTCCAGATCATAGAATCTCATCCGGGGCCTTCATCACGGACTTCTAATGACGCTGACCTTCTATGAATACCCTCAATTATGTGGGGTGATCTCTTGAATAAAGTCCTCAATCAAAGTCACAGACCTCCCACTGGGAGGGTCTTTGGTATTACATAAAATCAACATGAACTGGAGATGGACAAACATGTAAATGGCTCCTTTAATTGACTATGTTTTGGTTTATTCACACGTCTGATTAAAAGCTGCACAAGCCACGTCTTTAAAGCAGATTTAACACCATTTGTAAGAGGTTACCAACATGCCACGACATCGGCTCAAGCACGGTGATGATCATAAAAGGCAAAGTTGACAGATATTTGCTTCCCGTCTAATCTTGCTTTTATAGTGTCGGGTTTATTTGCGCTTTAGAGAGCTGCTATACGGTTTGGGTCAGAGTCATTTACAGCATCGTGTGTGCATATGCGGCATAAAGTTCCCCCGATATGTTTCAAAGTATTCAAATGAAGCACATTATCTTGCTACAGTATATCCTTGGGAAAGAAAGGCAAATATAAATATATAAGATATATTTATATATATATATACTTATAGCTCACAAGCTACATCTGTGAAAATGAGTGATTTTCTTTTATCTGAAATCAAAGCGATGCTCACAAATCTATTAAACGCCACCTTTTGTTTCTTTAATAATGCATCATACTGGGACCAAAGCCAGCTTTTCAAGCAAAGTGTAGACTTTTGTTCTGAACAAATATAATTAGACTTATTTTTAAGACACTCTCTGCGATGTTGAAGCTAATTTGTATTTAGTAAAGTACAGTCCTTGATGAGCTTTTCCCAGAGGCCGGGAGGCCCAGTTTGTATTTTGAACCAGCATAAAATCCTTGAATTAGAGAAAACTCAAGGGCCTTGCACTTTCCAGAGATTGTCGACTGCTGAATGCATCGAGATTAGAATAGCTGTCTCTGTGGCATACACAACGCTTCTAAGGGATGACAGTGTTTAGGAATTCTTCTCATTCATGTACAGATATATAAAAAGCTCCGACGTCTTGCAATGTGTTTTAAAAGCTTGAGGCCAGGCCTAAGACGGTCCCATGCCAGTCTTGCCAAGATTAGATTTAGTTATTTCGGGTTTGAGTGTAGATCATTTCAACTGCGTTTCATGGTGGTTTTGACAATGGATTCTAAAAAGAAAAAGAAAAAACAACTAAATCTGTGTTTTTTTAAACAGGAAAGGGTCTTGAACAGGTACTTGAGGGCCAAATACATCCCATCATGCTGGAAGTTTGCGGCTGCCGGTCTGAAATAAAAAAGTCTTCATCTTCCACTGGCTGAGGATCCATGTGGAAGGTGTAGCAGTAAGAAATCCACTATTTCTTCTTGCCTGCTCTCAATTGTTTGGGGTCCTAGTTGCATTTTCTAAGCTACGGTGGGACGATTTTGTAAGATAATATTTCTTGACTGACCAAATCATAATAACCGCTCGGAGGTACGGCTGATGAATCCTCCTAAAAAAGAAACCAAATTATTGTTCAGTCATTTTTTTTTCTTCTTTTGTATATTTACTAATGCTTCTTAATTACGGTATTGTTTTACAAAATAAACAAATCACTATTTAAATAATCAAGGGCTGTAGCACTACACACATATAATGGTTGTAACTAGAATATATAAACAAATGATTCATCATTTTTTTTAACCGATATACGCATTTTCAATTTTTACACAATTAAACCAAAAAATAAACAAACTGAACGTAAGAAGCTTAGATATACACGCCGCGCATGAATACAAGCTGCTGTTTATGAGACAAACAGAATCAGATGGTGTAAACCCCCGACGGAGAAGATCTTTGAAAAATTCATAAAGGGTAACACAACTGTTTATTCTGCGCATTTCAATGGAAGATAGCAAGCAGCTCTCTGTTGAATTGCCATCTGATGCTGCACATACTGTATGTATGCTGTGCATGTACACTCAAACCCGCACGAGGAAAAGCCGCACTGACGCACAGTCATGTGTACACACACATACACACACACACACACACACACACACACACACACACACACACACTACATTCTCAAGTAGTGTATAACATGACTGAGAAAAGGCCTTGAGGTAGAAGAACTGAGAAGAAATTCTTTTGGCAAACATACCGTGACTCCCTCGGCTCAAGAGATCAGGGTCAACACTTTGTCAACATCTGGATTGATGAAGGGAATTCAGTCATCCAGATATTGCAACGGAGTGAACCTAAGCTTTTTTTTCTCGATCTTATGATTCTATATTGTCAAACCCTCAAATATTCTCACTAGAATTTGAGTAGCAACTAAGAGGTCAGAGTTTTGGATGTAACTCCCATGGTGTCTGGGTGCTGGGCTCAGGTTTTTTGAGATAGGGGAACTCAAAAATCCCACAGAGGTTTGAAGAAGGACTGTTGCCCTTTCATTTCGACAAGAGCAGGTTGAGGTGGTTCAAGCAACCAATCAGGACGCCTCGCAGATCCCTCCCTGTAGAGGTATTCCAGGGATATCTAATTGAGAGGAAGCCCAGAGGCAAACGTAGAACGCGCTGGAGGGATTAAATGTCCCAGCTGCCCTGTGAGCACTGCGGGATTCTCTAGTAGGATCTGGGAGGTGGGGCTGGAGAAACGGATGCCCTGACTGGTCTAACCCAATGCCACCATTCCGGACCATGAAAGGTGGGGGAAGAAAGGAAATGTGAAAACGATGGATAGAAGAAAGGAAGGAAGGATAAAAGGCTGATTGTTGAGTTATCCACTACTGTTCAATTGTATTTTTTATCCATAACAAAATATGGTAACCGATGGAGGCAACCTCTATATGTGATGAAAACCTTACCTTTGGCGGAATAGCTGGTCCAGCAGTGTAAGGAGCCAGACTTGGTGGTACATCTGTGATGTAGGTCTTTCTGGGCCCCGGAGGTTGGTAAGCCTGGACAGGTGCCGGCTCAGGTCTCCTGGGACTTATGCCGACACCTTGGGGTGCTGTATAGGGATGTTCTTGGTATCCGATTGGAGCCATCTGGGAAAACCCAGGCTGTGGTGGCCCATAGGCAAAGTCAGGACCTTTGGGCTGGGCGGGCATGTACTGCACCTGTGCAGGGCCCCGAATTGGCTGCTGGCCAAAGTTGTGGCCAATTGGGGCTTGATGTTGGGGGCCGGGCTGGGCCGACCTCACCTGGACGTTGAAAGTGGGCTGGCTCGGGGTTGAGGCTGTGGCATAGGAGGCTGGTACGGGCTGAGGGGCGGCATGGCTTTGAGCCTTGACCACGGGGCTGGTAGGAGAAAGAGGGGTGGACGAGACCCCCCCGGGTGCCTGAGATTTGGGCGTAGACTTCTTGGTGGCAGTCAGCGGCGGCTGGTTTGGGATGACCATGCGCTTGTAACCGGTCACTGGAGCGCTGGGGGTGGAGGCTGCCGAGGAGTTCTGAAAAATAGAAGAAAGTTTGGCTCCGGTTAAAACAAACCAAAAAGTGAAAGACTCATGAGCAGGAAAATAACATCTAGGGAAACCGTCGGCCGGTCCGTTAATAGGGGACATCTACTGGGGACCATGAATATGTGCAAAGCCTTTCAGAGACATCCATCAAGATTTCAGTTTGAGACCAAAGTTGGACCCACATCGTCTCCCCGGTGCTCGCATCGGAGTCATTTCTCTATATCCTTTCCCCTCAGACGGTCACGGGGGAGGCTGGAGTCGATGCCAGCTAATATCGGGCGAGAGCCGGGGTACATCGTGGACTGGGGACAACAGGCAGGCCGATTGGTGGTTGTGTGCTAACCATCGTGCCACCCTGAGAACACTGACAGAGGACAGAAACCAATGTATACAACAGCTATCCACCCATGCTGTGGTTTATTATCCGCCCTGCCTTCCTGGAGTCAATTACCTCGACAGCAGAGGCTGCACAGCGTGCTCTGCCACCCAGAAATCTATGGCTAATAAAGCAGGAGGGGAAGGAGATATATCGTTGTGCAGAGGACGCCATGACAGCAGACTGGCAGCGGCACACAACACTTGTGCTGACTCCGGCTCCTTGGCCGGGATGGACGTTAAATCACGGAGATTTGCAACGCGGGTGTTCCTGGGAAGAGCCGGCTGTAAAGCAGCAGACCCAAGCCGCTGCAGGGACCCTCGCTGTGGGAATGGCCGTGGCGTTATGATCCGAGGTCTGGCCGCTTTACCATGGCACGGCACGGGGCGAAACCACGAGGAACACGCGGCAACAGCGCTTCACTCCCATGTCAGAGGCGTGCGCCCTGGGTGTCTGTCATGTAAGTAATAATTGTTTTTCACTACCACCACATATCGGTGTCAGACATTAAGCCAGTCTAAAAAGGGTCTATCATTAACCTTGGATGGCCTTATTAGGTTATTGCCTGAAGCCGAAAATCAAGAGTCAATTACTAAATTTGCAGCACTGGGGGAACAAAAAGGAACACTTGTAGTCTTTAGACCCCTTTGCAGTTTAGTTTGATGAGATGTCTTCTAAATTGGGGCAGAGAAACAATTCCAATCGATTCCCCCTTAAAAGTTGATCAAAGCCCTCAGCGGTGCCCCAAATATCTGTGTTTTGCTGCACTGCTACACGATGCCGTAATCCCGTTTAAACCAAAGGAGGAACACTCGCTTTGTAATTCCGTCAGTGAAACGTACCCTGTGAAATTCTCTACCCGATAATGTGTTGCAACACACACAAATAATTCCAAGTTATCGGGTGAAGGAGGTGCGTGCTTCAATTTATGGGTCTAAATCCCATCTAATCTAAGTCAGAGGGGAGCCCCTAAGGAACCATTACATGTCTCAGATTCCTACCTCAGTGATTAGTGCTGAGGTTTATTTAACTAGTGTGTCTGTCTGCATATGTATGGAAAATGAAAAATGAAATCTCTCCTATGCCCTTTAGGAGGTAGAATTACTTAATTTAAATGTTTCATGGGTTTTAAATACTCTAGATTGTTAATTGATCTTTGAGGCCTTAGAACATAGACTAGCATTTAGTTCGAGCCGAGCGCTGGAAATGCAAATAGGTCCTCTCCAAATAATTACACTGTCATGGTACGTTTTCCACAAATTACATAAAGAGAATGGATTCGCGCCTTTCTGAGGGCGATGAAACTTATCAAACGCATAATACCCGAACCAAAATGTCTGTGTTATTAACCAAGTTATGGTTTCAGTTGATGTGCGCCTTTGACCTGTTGGCGTTAATAACAAGTTCAGAGGCAATAACGATCATAAAACGGTTTCTGATTATGAACAAAATGTGTATGGATATACAATACAGCAACATTTCCACCACGACAACACATTTATTGATCAGTTTCTCTTTGTTAAGTGATCTGTATGTTTTAACAAGATTTATATATCTATATCTTATATAAGATCATATATCAGGATATTTTTTTATTATTAATATTTCGTTATCACAAAAAATCCAACTACTCAATTCTTTCAAAAAACCTTTCTTAAAATAAATGTACATTGTTATTGGATTTTATTTAATTTTATTATTGTATGTGAGAGTAATGTCATGAAAACAGGTATTTTTATTAACACGTTTTTAACCATACAACTATATATTTATATTATACAAATTGAAATAGAATATATACATATATATATATATATATATATATATATATATATATATATAATTTGACTTTTTTGTATCATAAAAACCTCCTTATTACACAATTGTGACATTAATGTATCTCATTATATGAAGATGTCATAACTATAGTACAGTGTTGAGACAACAAACGTCTGTATGTTTTTCCATAACATAACACAGGGCACAAAATGTACACTTCATGACATGGACTCATTGAATGAACGGCTTCCACTCTTTTGATATGTTAACGAAAGTCTTTGCACGCACTTCAAAACCGGCCAAATAACACATGTTGGTGTTTTTCAATAACATTCACATCACTGCAATAAATCTTCACTGAGGGACAGAAGGGAAGTGGTCTTTTTGTATGATCACATACACTGTATTGAAATCCACAAGTCCAACCTGATACAACATCATACTGTGCTGCTGTCTGACACACACACACACACACACACACACACACACACACACACACACACACACACACACACACACACACACACACACACACACACACACACACACACACACACACACACTTTTTAAAAAGTTTTGCCCGGCGCCTTCTGGAGTTAACCCTCACCCCACACTGTAATTCAGACTGACTTTGCAAACAACTTAAGTGTGAAAATTCACAGAGGCTCTCAAGAAAGCCTTTTGACACATTAAAAAAGATTAGGAGAGACTATACCAGCCTCAGGGGGCTGAGTAAGACTGTTAACTTTGCGTTTCAAACCACAAGGGTGGGGGGATTTTTTTTATTTATTTAAAAAAGGTCTTTGTTGAAGCAGGCTCGGGGAAAGCCCCCAAAGAGGGAGAAGTTGTGCCTCTTCTCAGACTCATCTGAAACCGTGGGTGCTTTTCTCTCTGAACTTTAATCATACAAGTGCATCCATCGACCGGACCACCACCCCCCCCCCCTGCATCCGTCCGTTTGCAGCACTCGCGCTACGGCCGTGGAAGAATTCACAGTGCTAACAGCCCCCCCTCCAACCCCCGCACACTTTCAGTCATCTCGTCTCGGCACAATCGGAGCACAATAGTCGCGTTTAACAATCTGCCAGCCTCAATACAGACGCGCAATTGAGGGTATCAATTTGCCTCTCCTAAAATAGTCCGAGATAAGGCACATTAAATATGATTAAACAATGTCTCCGTGGAACATGGCGAGACCTCTAGCTGTTTGGAACTATCTCTCAGTTTTGCAGATAAAAGTGTGCTGTGCGCAAGCTGGGAACTTTTCCCGCTCCGCCTATCTCATATCTGCATATCGGGTTCTCTCTTTTTGTGCTCCTTCAAGTGATAGTTGCATGACAACCCTCGCCTTTCATGAGTGAATATTTGCGTACAGTTTTTCACCCACGCCGTTTAGAATGCATGTGTCCTGCATCCCACGCTCAATGTTTTTTCGGCGCGTGTCACCGTGATGTAATCAGTCCTAATAACAGTGTCCCACTTTGTTCACCGCGGTAGATTTACATGCACAGCTCCATTTAGCGGCCTTTCCGTACAACTGCTGTTATGCAATTGAAGAGGATAAATAAAGTTCAAAAAGTTCTATAATATTTTCCCTCACATGGCTTAGATAGAAAATCCATTAAAAAGACTGTTGCAAAGGGTAATATCTGTTTGAATGGGTGCATCTCAGTTGACCTGGATGTGACTTGAGTGCTTCTTTGGATCTGTTACATTCTGCAAATGTTCACGAAAGTACATGGAGGACTTGACACACGAGCGTCGGACTCAAACAGAATGTGAAATACAAAACTATCTGAGGACGTGGGGGGAGTTGGCATTCAGGATTACTAACACAGATGTGGAGGAGAACTCACGTGGGTTTTGAAGGTAAAGTGAAGTTAAACATATGTACAAACATTTATATTTGAATGTTTCCATTTCTCCAAGTAGTTTTTCTCAGCTATGACATTTGTGCTGTGGCTTCTGATGTTCGCACAGTTGATCATTTTTACATCCACCAACTAAAAATGAATACATTGATGCAGGATAAGGATGTTTTTTAATGATATTTGCCAACCGTGACTTTGAAAGTTTAAATAATCAACCAATAATCTATACTTTAAAACATTAAGAAAGCAAGTAAATACAGATTATATATATATATATATATATATATATATATATATATATATATATATATATCTATCTGGAAAGGGAATTTTAAAGAATATAATCTTTTTTTCAGTGCGCCGTGGTTTCTTACTCGTCCACGCCGATTCCAAAAGGAGCTTTAATGGGCCAAAATATCGCTGTGGTTCTATTTCAAGCAAGAACAAACATCATCACAGTCATGCTGATGGTGGTTCATAATGACTAAATTGGTATCATTGGGGATTGAAATGTTGTGCACTGTTTGATTTGCTGTACGTGGACTTAAAAGAACAGGGAGCATAATGAAGACACGGCATAAGTCAGGTAGCAGTCACCTGCACAGCACACGACATGCACAAAAAACTAAATCTCTTATGTAATCTCCTCCCCCCCATAAAAAGATGTTCAAAATTAAAGAAAAATAATTAAAAATCTAATCGAATCATAAAATAACATCATACAAAAGTAGGGCTTATTACACACAGATGCAACTAAAAAGTTTTTTTCGGGCTACTGTCTGAAGACAAAAAATAACAGCACCCTGCAGGCCACCTAAACAAAAAAGAAAAAGGGAAATGTGTGTTTTGTGGTGCTCACACAGCAGAAACTAACCGTTTCATTCACCACCCGCAGTACTGTGGGACGGCCCATTGCCGCACACGCCTCGACTCATCCCGGCAACGAGGGGAGCTTTGGTTTT